CCCCCGGCCCCTACACACACACTCAAGCCAGCATGTGGTGGGTGCGTGGCCTCCCCGAAGGGTGCCTCAGCTGGAGCAGTAGGACGACACTCAGTCCACTGCTCTCGAAGCCTTGCCGGTTGCCGTTGGCTCTTCTCCCAGCTCGTTGCAGCAGAAGGTAGTGAGAGGAGTCGCCCCACATCAGTGTCGTCCACTCATCTTCCTTCGACGCCCTGCCGGTTGCCGTCCTACCCGCACAGGTCTTTCAACTCGATCTAGGGGCCCTGGCATGGTATCTTTTTCAAGTGCACGAGGCTGTGCTGCGACCAGACGTGGTGTTGTCAGTGATGTGCTCCTGATGCCGGCTGACAATAAGCCCGGTATACAGCTAGTGCCATGCAATGCGACGCCGGGCTTCGAACTTGATCTCATCGCTGACAAGGGAAGGTTTACCGGTGATACACTCAGATTTCAATGGCGCTTCAAAGTGTTGTTGTTTTCATCCCTAGATTAGGTTTTGCATTGGTTTTAGCTGCCCGTAGGGAGTTTGAAGGTCGTTTTACGCGAATTTAATCGAAAATTCGCAAACAAATTTAGCCCGATTATCAACTTTACATGCACGTATCTCAAGAACCGTTTGAGCTACAGCGCCCAGATTTTGAGGGAAATCATAATTTAGCACGTTCTTTACTTGTAGAAAATTTGAACGAAATCGATTAGGGTCGCAAAAACGGGTCCGGAGAGGGGGGTTGCGACCCTAGGCCCCTTTTGGTGAACCCCATTGATTTGGTTCAAATATTTTTCATGGAAACTACTAATTGAAGGACAATTACATGCAAAATCTGGGCGCTGTAGCTCAAACGGTTTCGGAGATATGTGCATGCAAAGATGGCAAAAAACCGATGAATTTGGGAAATTTTTGATGAAATTCTTGTGAAATGACCCCCAAACTCCCTACGGGCAGCTAAAACCAGTGCCAATCCTAATCTAGAGGTGCAAACAACTACTCTTTAAAGCGCCTTTGAAATCTGACTGTATCACCGGAAAACCTTCCCTTGTGAGTTGGCAAAGGTCTTGTCCGATAGTTGATGATACCGTACTGCAGGTGTGCGAGAGAGAGCGACAGTACACGGGCGGTGCTGCGGTGCTGTGGCTTGGCGTGGCGGCTGCAGTCACTGGCCGGACATCCAAATAGTGCCGAAGTCACCTGTGCGGGGTCCGGCCGGGTCGGCGCTGGCCGACAGCTACTCTTGCCACGCCACAAAGTGCCGAACGGAGTGGGCGGACCGTCCACCCGTCGCCAGGCTCGGTCCGGGCGGCCACCCGGCCCGTTGACGAAGAGACGGGTCGGGCCGGGCGCTCTGGCGACGAGCGCTCGGTGGCTTGCGGGCGGAGCCCGCCCACCCGTTTGAGAACTCTGGCACCGTCTACTATTGCGAGTAATCCAAGCAAAGATCGAAAATAGTTATGCTGCAATGCAAACGACACTAACACTAAGTGCCATGTAGTCCGACACCTGGCCTCGAACTTGATCTCATCCCTGAGTTGGCGAGGACTTTCTGAGAGTTGATGAGAGCGGATTGCAGCCGCCCTGCCGTCGATGACCATGGAGTGGAGGACGCTGCTGTGCGGTGACTCCTTGCCCTACCTGCTGTTGCGCTGACCGTCGACCTGAGTGTGCAGCGGACGTCAGCCGGCAGGGCTTCGATGGCAGCGGAGTGGATGACACTGCCGTGGGGCTACTCCTTGCCATACCTGCAGCTGTGTCTATCTGGGTGATGAACAGAGGGCAGCCGGCAAGGAGTTGACGGACCTGGACTGAGTGTCGTCCTCTGCTGCAGCTGCCGCAGCCTTCGGTCGGTGCACTTTCTCACCCTGGGCGCCCTTGAGTGTCTGTGTGTGTGGAACGCTGGAGGGGTGGGGGGGCAATACTACAAACCTGCCGCTTTCCGTCTTCCCCGCCCAGATCGTTGCACTCGATGTTGAGGCCCTTGCAGGGCAGCGTTCTCAAGTCCACGAGGCCGCCGTACGCCGCGACGTGGGGTCGTCGGTGAGGTGGTCCTTGTGCCGTCCGACAAATATCCCAGGATACAGCCAGTGCCTGTGTCTGTGTGTGTGGAACGCCGGGGGGGGGGGGGGGCAATACTACAAACCTGCCGCTTTCCGTCTTCCCCGCCCAGTTTGTTGCACTCGATGTTGAGGCCCTTGCAGGGCAGCGTTCTCAAGTCCACGATAGGCCGCCGTACGCCACGACGTGGGGTCGTCGGTGAGGTGCTCCTGGTGCCGGCCGACAAGAACCCCAGGATTCCGAGGGGCAGCTCTACAAGCCTTCTTAGAAGACTTCGTTACAAAATTTGAGCTAACTCTGTGGGCGTAGGGCTTCGTTGGCTTCATGAAATAGACTTTTTTGGTGTAATTTGACTAAAAAACCCTTTTTAGCACCTCAGTTATTATAGCTACAGGAAACACTATAAGCCTTCCGATCAGACTCCGGCAGAAAATGTGGGCTAACTCTGTGGAGTATGTTGTACCTTAACAATTTTTTTTATTTGAAAATTTTTTAATACTTACTGTGTCTGGTGGGTCCATCTTTTTGTTGTATAGTTATATTTTGTAAAACTGTTTAGCCTGAAGAGGTTTCTTTACATATATTGCAGCTGATGTCTGTAATTTTGATTGAAAAAAAAGTATGACTGTCAAAAATTAGTTGTGCAAAGTGG